ATATATTATATACGGTGATTTTTAAAAAGAACTGGAATAGATTATTGCTTATTTTGTTAAGTAAAAATAGAATAAAATGATAAAGAAACCAAAAAATCATATGGTATAATACTTTTCGATCTGTTATCACCTTATTTTTTATGTGAATGCACCGATGCACTAGTCAAATGTAATTGCACTTAATATTATTAACACAACCTAATTTTTTCTTTAACCAATCGAGCCTTCATTTTTTTCTCAACACTGAGACTTTCTTTTTGGTAATTAAATTAATAATAATTAAACAAATCGATGATTATTAATTAATATGTTTTATCTTTTTGGAAACAATTTTATAAGCGATGCTACAGGCTCAATGTTTTATGATCTGTTATTGAGGTTTTGGGTACGTGTTCACTCTCTCTCTCTCTCTCTCTCTCTCTCTCTCTCTCTCTCTCTCTCTCTTGTTCACTCCCTCTTTCTGTTTTAGTACCATAATTCTCACAGTGAAATACAATTCTCCGCAAACCCCCTTTAGCTATAGTACAATACATACAAGTTTATCGGTGATTTCGTTATAGGAAAACCACGTTAACCAGCTTGACTATATTTGCAATTGGATATTCGTATATGACCATTAACCGATTGAGATCACATAGAAAATCATTATCTAAATTTATAAATATATTATATCAATTTATTAATTAGCAACTTATCCAACGACAAATGATAACAAGCTCAAATTGTATTGTGATTTGATTGTCTGGAAAAAAGTGGCATTTAACATAAAAAAGATTCGATACATAAACAAAAAAAAAAAAATACTATCAAAAATTATCATGAAAATTTATCAAAGTCAAGTATAACAATTAAAATAGTTATCGCTTATAAAGTATACCCCGATTTTCACGTACCTAGGTAGAGTACCTACTCTAATTAAACGATGCACGTCTGATCTCAAGATGGAATTCCAAGACCGGCATCGATTACCCAACCAATTTGCTACGGGCTTTACTCTCTATCTCTCTTCTACCTTTCTCGCCCTCTAATCCCATTTATCTCTCTCTCTCTCTCTCTCTCAATTCTGTTTCCACGGAACTTATCGAGAAATGCCACGAACGCGCGGATCTTCTACCAAAGGATGCCAAACTTGATTATAGATGGTGGAACATGAAACGTACAAACGATTAGTGTCATTCCAATGTTGAAGAACATTTTAAAACTTTCTTATGGTGAAGAAAAAAAAAAGACAAATAGAAAGAGAAAAAGAGAAAGAAATCGAAATAAACGGCATCTATAGACATCGAATACAGAAGAGTGTTTTTATGAAAAGGGGAATGACCTTGTTGTTTACGCCAATTTTGTACGCTTGAGTAACGTCAAAAGAGAGAGAGAGTTAGGGAGGAATTATCGTTACTTCGTCGAGCTTGATTTACGTCAACGTATTACGGCGAAAAAGTAGAGAAGGGTAAAAGGATGAGAAGTTGAGGGTGATGGGTTGAGGGATCTGAAAAGAAAGAAACGGAAAGAATAAGAGAGAGAAAGAAGTATAAACACGAAACGAAAAATTAAAATAAAAATAAAAAAAGAAGAAAAGGTATGAAGTTTCGACGAGACACAAGAGAAATGGGGAGAGACCGATTCGCAGCGGGTAGCACTGCTACTGCTGGTGGTGGTTGTGGTGGGGGTGGGGAACAATTTTTCAAACAAAGGACTTGTTATTTGTGCCGTACATACGAGAGCGAATCTACTGCCGTGTAGTCGAGCTTTTTAAAACTACGACAATGACAATGGCAATGACAACGACGAGGACAAGAAAGAAACGATAGACCGGTCAAACGAATATGCATTTCATATCCAACTTTAAAGCCCGACTGGTCCTATACTTGAGATACATAAAAAATGAGTGGGTCCATGGAGACGTAAAAAGAAGAAGGTCCTAGAATATCCATAGTGTGTTTCCCAACTCGTTGAAATTAAGTGTTGCTTCCTCGTTCGACCCTTAATTCGCTTCTACATGGTAACGTGACCTAGGGACAAATTTGAATTTGCACAAACTGCTCTTCTTACCCCCTTTTTGCGAGGATGCTGGAAGGGCGATTCTCTTGGGAATGAAATAGAGTAAGATAGAAAAAGAAAGAAAGAGAGAAGTAGCCAATGTAGAAGAAGAAGAACAAGAACAAGAATAAGAAAGAGAGAGAGAGAGAGAAACAACGACCAAGACAACAGCCTTAATAGCCGGTACAATGGGGGGATCTTCGAGTCTTTTACGTCGCACTTGACGAAACAATAGTCGAACGAGTACCGTGCGATAGACCGCCGCTGGAGGGTGCAGAGAGTGTCGAGGACGCCGAAGAGGGGTTGCTACCAGTAGACGACTCGGAATCCGTAGCCCCGGGTCGGATTTTAACGACGTGCTCGGACGCAGTCGTTGCATCTCTCTGCCAGGGATGCACTGTCTATATTTCTCATTCTTTTTCCCTCTCTTTCTCTTTCTCTTTCGGTATCTATCTCGCTTTCCACCTTCTCCTTTTCCCTCCCACCACCATAGTAGTCTATGTTACCCCTTAAAATAGTCCCATCTCGCTCGTACCAAGGATTTCGTTTCGTTTTCGTGCGCGCGTCTCCGGGCACCATCAAGCTCTACCTCGACGCAAATTCTGTCCGTTCTCTTTTTTCTTTCCTCTTTCTCTTTTTCCTGTTTTTCATCCCCATAGCTCTCTCTCTCTCTCCTTTCATAGTTTGAGTTCGCTTGCAAACTCCCCAGTCGTTTAACGTCAAAACTTTTCTCTCTCTCTCTCTCTCTCTCTCTCTCTATCTCTTTCTCTTTGGCAGACATCCCATCTTGTATAGAATGTCCAACTTTATTTATCAATATTGTTGAGACATAAGGCATAGCCGAACTTTCAATACATTCAAAAATCGATTATTGACTCTTACAGAGGAATTAATGTTAGCTAACTATTAATTGTTTCCATAAGTTACGCAGATACATCATACATATATATATATACGATATATTTCTGTGTTGGAAAACAATCGTGACAAATCTAACAGGAGCTTGATATATTTCATGATACATTCGCGTGACTCGCTACCGCTTACGAACAGCAAACTTTCTATTCAGATTATTCTCCAACGATCATATATCTTTTCCCATTTAGAAGCTACTAGAAATCCCCTAGGGGTCATAATAAAAACATCAAGCTTGATTCGACGATCTAAAAAGTACAAGGAATTACGAGAAACGTTGAGAAGGAAACTTTTCTCGATAACTTAAATCTATTTCTCGTGAGTGGATATCAAAACGACAACAAGAAGTTTTGTTTGAACTTAAATACTTTCTAAAGAGCTAAATACAACACACATACACATACACACTCATTTGTTCCTTTTGCGCCCAGCACCTGCGCCAGGATTTTACCAATCCCACTTTACTCGAAAGACAATACTGTACGCAAAAACGTACAATAGAGAATATTGGGAAGGGAGAAGGGAGAAAAGTCATGAGTGGGATAAAAGTGGACCAACACGAAGAACGGAAAGGTCGGAAAGAGGTCGAGTGCGACTAATTAATAAATCGCACGAAATTCAACGCGGTAATTTGTTAATATTTCTCCAAGAGAAAGGTTGCGTCGATGGGATTAAAATCGTTTTCGTTAATTCCGGTATATCGATCCATCGTTTTACATACTAGGTATACAAGTTAGACCAGGACGACGAGGTAGGATAAAAATAAAAATAAATACAGAGATAGAGAGACCTTTCTACAGAAAATACGATATTACTACGTCCTGTTGAAAAGATATATATATATATTGTCATCGATATTTTCTTTATATAGGAGCCATGACAGAGATAAATATTTGCACATATATATATCATATAGAAGAACAAATATTAGGTATATTATTATAAGCACGGATTTCATTTAGAAATAAGATAAATCCGTACTCTCAACGTTTCGAAGTCCTTTGAACAGGAGACAAAAAGAGAGAAAGGCAAAAAGAAAGATGCAATGTGAGTAGAGAGCTCAGATGAACTAACGTAAACGGAATACTCGAAAGACAAACGAAATAGTCAGAGGAAGGAAGGGGTAGTACCTTTAACCGATGAACGATCGCGACCTTTCCACCTCTTCCACCGAGTACATGCTCGGTCCTTCGCAAGTTCCCTGACCCACCCTAAAAAAAAGTACGGGCGGTTCAACGCGCCCGGAACGACCTACCCTTCTCTCTCAGTTACACTATCCTTGCTTTTCTTTCTAACTAAAAAGAAAAAAACAACAACAAAACGTAAAAAGAAAGACCGGAGAAAAAAAAACATCGGTAGCTCGACGAGGCGGTTGTGTAGGATCGACGAAAAGTTTCCTCTCGAAAATGAACGCGAAAGGGAGTACATAGATATGAGAGGGAGAGAGAAAAACTGGTAGGATAGAAAAGGAAGCGAGCACACATGTATTCGCGAAACGATTTGGCGGGCGCGCACGCGATCCACGCTTACGGGAGGCACGCATCCATCTCGGAAAGTCAGCCGAAGGGTTCCTCTAACTCCGAGAGGAAAAGAAAAAGAGAGAGAGAGAGATATGCAGAGAGAAAGAAAGAGATAGAGAGTTGAGGAGGGTGCGTGCAACGACCGCGCACGTCCTCCTCCCTTTCATTCTTCTCTTCTCTTCTCTTCTGTTCACTCTGAACTCACCCCTTCTTCGCTAGGAACCCCTTCTCCATACGAAAGAAGGTGACGCTCTGTTGGGTATAGGTACCGAGAGATAGACAGAAACAGGTATAGTGAAAGAGGGTAGAGGGTGTTCGCAGATGGGGTTGAAGAAGGATAGCAAAGGTTGGAGAGGGGATACGATTGGACGCATGCGCCCCTAACACTCGCGGGGCTTTCCCGGCGCGGATCAGTCGTGGCCGGCGGTGCCGGAGGCCAAAGACTTTCGCGAGGGTGGACGCGCGCCGTGTTTTCTCTCGCACACCGTGAGAATCCACTCTCCTTTACCTCTCTCTCTCTCTTTCTCTCTTTCTATCTTTATATTTTTCTTTCTTTCTCTCTCTCTTTCTCTCTCTCTCTTTCATTTAATATTTCCTTATCCGTACTTTCGTTATCTTTCTCGCACGCGTTTGATCGTCGTTCGTACGTTCATTCTCGGTTTCTTTCACGTCGCGTCTTCTCGCCGGGGTTTATGTACAACGTGAATTTTTTCTTCTATCATTTCTCCGTGTTGTCGTGCAAGAACCGTGGTCCGACGTTACGCGTGCCATTTTTTGAACTCCCATTGAAAGGCACGATACGAAAGTGGAAACTGCAAAGAAGTTTATTATTTTCGAAGAGATTAATTGGTTTTTTTCTTTTTTATTTTTCTTCTTTTTCGTTAAAAAATCTTTGATTTTGTATCATTTTTCTCATTGATTTAAACGACACGTTGTTTTAACTGTCGTGAATTTAGTTCGATCTCGAGATAATATCGCGCCTATATACGATCCCGTAATCGGTCCCGCGTGCGTGTTCCATCACGGCCGGATGATACTCTCCGAGATACTCTGCGTCCGTGCTCGGATTCATTCAACGTCATTTCGTCAATGTCGTCGTATTATTCACGACAATTCTCGAATTTTTCTTCTACTCTCGAAATAGAAATGAAATTATTTTGGGAGTGAACTATTATAAGACAAATGGACAAGGTTTTCCCATTGGTGGTGATCATCACGCTGGTGTCGTCGTGATAGAGTGGAGAGTCAAAATATCAGCTTGATTGGAACCTGTTTCGTTTGGAATCAATTCGAAGAAAGACTATCAAAAGGAAACGGGAGGGAAGAAGGAAAATAACAAAGTTAATCAGTCAAATCCAATAACAGGAACTTAAGAAGGATGATGGCCCGATTCTTAATATTAGCTGGTAAGTTTTGTACTACATTATATTTCCTTTCAATCACGTACAGTACTGTTTGTTTACATTTTACGTCAAATTATTATACTTTTACGGAAAATTAACTATCTGTGTATGCATTTCGTATTATGGGATCGCGCGATGAGGCTTTTGCAACGTGCATCGATCGTTTCCTATACCACGCGAGTATCAAATTCCTGCCGAATCAATGACCCAATCCTACCGAAATTCTATGTGAACGAGAGAAAGATAGATAGATAGGTAGATAGATAGATATATATATAGATAGATAGATAGATAGATAGAGGGAAGGAGAGAAATACTTTCCGTTTTGGAATTCGTACTTGTCGGTTTTGTTTGCATGATAGATGGAATACGTCGAAACTATTTTAAGCTTGACGGCATCCCGTAACGTCACACAATTTTCAAAAATCTTTTATCAGATTCTCACGAGTAAAATCGAAATAAATATATATATTTATGTATCATAGAATAATTATAAATTTCATATTTGAAAATTATAATAAGTTGTTATAACTTTGAATCGAATTGTATGAAAAAACAAACAGTGAAGTTGCAAAGCAGTTTGATATCGTTTTAAATGTAACAAATTACAACAAATAACGTACCCTTTTAAGCATACGTCGAAAAGGAACCAGGGGGAGATACAACAAAGCTTTGCGCTTTGGTTCAACTTTTGCGAGCTTGTGAAACGCGATAGAAAGTGAGAAACGTCGTCCGTGTGTTTCTCAGTTACGTGCGATAGTGTTCCTAAAAGTTTCGCTCGAGCGCATACTGGAAACGAGATAACACCGAACACGCGTGACACGTTCGTGAAAATCTAATTTGTGAAATAAAGGCAACCAACCTAGTAAATCGACATATTTTATTTTACGAAAACTTTACGATACTTATCGTTAAAATATCGAAAAATAATATTTGACAAATGTCTAATAATAAATATATATATAAACGAGTTATATCGTATTCCATTGAATATGACACGTGTTAACAACAGGTAAAATTAAAGAACACAAAATATTCGATTGTTATCTATCAACTAATTCTCGTAAACGATTTTTGTGAAAAATAACCGGACTATGTTCATTGAATTTAAGAGAGAGAAAAAGAGATATCACAATTGGATATCTATTTATACATTTCATCGAGACACCTGACGACTATTAGCGTCGTTAAATATTTCACGGTGAAAAGTTAAATAAAAGGAAAATAAATACAAGCTAAATTAAAAAAACTTTATATTATATATATATATATATATATATAAATCGATTACTTAATTATCACGAAATAAAGGTAGGATAAGGTAGTGTAGTGTAGGTAAGCAAACAAGCGTTTATTTTCTTTCGGAGTCAAATATAAACCGCGTCATTAGATTTGAAAAGATAAAGAGAATGAATATTTTAAATACCGTCTACGTAAGAACGAACGAAAGACCCATGGTAGCCACCTTTCTTCGTTCGGATCAATTAACGCTTTCGTAGGGAAGGGCTCGTTACGAGAAATAAAAAGAAAAGAGAAGAAAGACAAAAAAAAATAAAAAAGGGGGTATCAAAGGAGTTGGAAGAAAGCATTCTGTTGTTGTTGCACCTTTACGCCGACGATAAATTATATACGTAGTGGTCGTAGTAGACCTTCTCCTTCTTCCCATTGGAAAAGGGTCGATTGGTCGGTCTTTAGAACAATAAAAAAAAAACAACCAACCAATAAACGATCGCAAGACGCGTCTAAGAAGCTTTCTTGTTAAGATCTTCGAGCTTTCAGTTAAGAAAGCTACCGTTCCTAACAGCGGAGTTTTTCTCTTTCGAATTCTTCTTAAAGAAACTCAAGTCAGGTCTGAGAGTACAGAAGAAATCAGAGCTGCTTGGACTTGGGAGAAGGGAAGGGGGAAAGAATTGAAGGCGACGGAAAAAGAGAGAGAGAGAGAGAAATAGAAAAAAAAGATTAAAAAAAGAAAGAGACAGAGATAAATCTCAACTGAGTTCGTATCACTAATTGCGAACAATTCAGACTCGACATCTCTCAAATCTCGGAAGCCTTTAATCTCATCGGGGTGGAAGGGGGGGGCTAGTATTAACGATAACGACGGAGTATTTCGTGAAACGACGTTCTGAAATTTAAGCGACGTTTCCTTCACGAGGTGGTGCAGCAGGTAGGTATCCTTAATAAGCAAGCTCCTTTTGCAACGTTTCCTTTCGTGCCAATTTCGTACTTCATCCCCACCCTCCCCGTATCTTCCTTTTCCTCTTCTTCTTCTTCTTCTTCTTCTTCTTATCCTCCTGGTACATGCTCTCCAGTTCCACGAGTTAGGTGAGCGCGTTAATGGAATATTTTAATAGCTAAGTAAACCTTCGGTCTACGTGCTTTTGTAAAGGATTGGGATAGAACGGGTTGGGGTAGGGCTGGGGGATAGAAGAGAAATGATGAAACGAAGAGAATTAGCGTCGAGTGGACGAACCATTCGCGCTCTTTTAACGCGCCCATCATATCCGTAAGTTTTTTAGGTCGTCTAGCTATATCATCCTTTTAAAATTGAATAGCTTGTATGTGAAACACACACACACATACACACACAATGCCTCGCCTAATTTCGAAAGGGAGAAGGTAGTGTCTTCATTCCCATTACGACACTTAAAAACGGGAGATTAATAATAGTCGTACGAAATTTAAAACGACATGTTGACAAATTATAAGTAACGATAAAAAGTTATTGGATTGTAAGAATATTGGAAAGATGATATTAATTTTATTAGAGAAAATAAAATAAATTAATGTTAAAAATAAACTTGTTTTCTTACTGTAATAACTCTGATATAATAATAATAATAATAATTAATATAAATAAGTAATCAAATTTCTACTCGAAAAAAAACATAAACTTGAATTCAACTTAACTTTTATGCGCTTTAAACTAATTTATATATTGAAAAATGATAATTAAGATATATTAATAATAATATACATATTATTATTATATTAAGATATAATATAAAATATAAATTAGGATATATAATATTATTATTACATATTATATTATTATATATTATATAATATATACAATATATTTTAAGTAATATAAAATATAATATTATTATATTATAATAAGATGTAATAATAATAAGAAATACTTATATTTTATAAAATAATATTTAGATGATGTCGTGTGTCAGTTTTCGATAATTATCATCAATAAAATTTAAAAAAAAATCTTTTTATCAAAGAGACAAAGTTGCAATAATCTCGTCGAACTTGTAAAGTACTCCCCGAAAAAGAAATAATCTCGAAAAAAAAAAAAAGAAAACGGACCAACTTGAGCATACGTGCTTCGAAATCTTAAAACGAAAGTATAAAAAGTGTCCCCCTACTCGGATTCATTTCACGTTGAAAATTATCGTCCCGTGAAACAGATTTATTTCTCGGGGTACGGGGTGATCGGAAATGAAAAGAAGAAGGGTGAAAGGGTGGGAGGAAGGGAATCGAAGGATACGCTCGGTCGAAGAGTTAAACGAAGAACAGAAAGGAGACAAAATGACAGGGGAAAGGAAAAGAAAAAATGGATAAAGAGAAAAGTGGAGAAAAAAGTGGGGGTGGAAAAATAGGAGAGGGGGGATGGTCATGAAAGGATAGAGGAAAAGATGGAACGACAGAAACGCGAGCTTTCGCGTTGGCACGTAGTCCGATTATGTGGATAATGCGAGGTGACGTGACGAGCCTCCATATATACGACATATATATGTATGTATATATATATATACATATATTACATATTATATAATATATACATATATCCATCCCGATGGGCTCTCCCAGTACCATCAGTCCGCAGAATAATTTATTCGTTATGAATATAAACTCGAGGAAAACTGATTCGTAGCCAGTTCGAGTCGAAGTATGAACCGATCTTCGTGAAACACAAGGGAAGGCTGTGTTTAAAGCTAGTCTAAAAAAATGAAGTAAACAAATGGGTAAAAGGTGGATAAGAAAAAGGATAACTTGCGTCCTAGAAATTCATTCATGTATATACAAACGTGGATATACACAATGTATTATATATATATAACATAATACTTCGATTTTCATCCATCTTTCTAGCATTTACATTCATTTCCTTCGATGATCTTGAAACACCCTATTTTCATTCAAATTTTTTGCTTTTATTTTATCGATCGGTTTTCACAACACAACACAACTTGAACGTTTATATCGATTTGCCCAAATTTCAATCGTATTTTTAGGATCGACTATTGTAGATTCAAGATAGAGACGGTTAAAAAGGGTTGGTAAAGGGGAAACGGAAAGGAGAAAAATTCAGCAACAACTTGAGAAACTTGTCTAATGGTTTCGAAGAAAAGTAACTTTTCACTGTGAGCTAGCCTTCAGATGGGAACTACGCGATACACAAAGGAAGACGATGAATAGTCGACTGCACGAGCGGAAACTCGTGGAAAAGCGATTTAGATACATCGCAGTCTCGAGTAACAAAACACACTACGACGGTGACGGAACGGAAAAGGATGAAAAGGGGTGGGGGGAGGAAGGTTAAAGAGGGTGAATGAAATAGAGAGAAAACAAATGATTGCAAGTGTTATACCTGGAGAGAATTTCATCTACCGTTTTCTTCGTACCCTGTCTTAGTTTTGCGAATTTAAACACAACGAGCAAGCATCTAACGAGTAGAAACTTACATTAGTCGTGAATTTGAAAAGGATTGTTAATAACGCGTTATGATTTTCTAAAATCTTTGTGAAATTTATGAAGAAAATTCACTTTTTACGGTATATGAATGTCATATAAATTTTGTCTTGCTTTTGTAATAAAATCATTTTCTTATTTTCCATGTTATTCTTGCATCGTCACAACTAAAGGTTTTTGTTATGTTCACGAAGAAATGGAAAATGTTCGTGGAGTATCGAGATCGCATATTATTCGTATGTATCGTAAAATTTAATAACTTTTCCTCTCATAGTCGAATTGGATTGTCCAGAGAC